TGGCGAGACTGCGGTTTGTGTCGACAGGGACACGTACGCGCCTCTCGCCACCTTTACCGCTGAGCCGGGCTCTGGTCTCTACACACTTCACACTGGCCCCCGAGGGCAGCAGCAGCAACAGCAGTAACAGCGGCAGCAACAACAGCAGCAGCTATTGCCCCCAACCCCTGTCACTGCCCCCATCAAGTTATCGCGTCTCACCAGGTTGCCGCGTCTCCCCAGGTAGCTGTGTCTGGTCAGCTTCCGGTGTCTGGTCCAGTTGCTGCGTCGTGCTCTTGCCGGTCACTTGCCCACCCCACCGTTCTGTGGCACCACCGGATGGGGCACCCGTCCATTCCTCGTGTGCGCGCTATGTCTAGTCAGCGTCTAGTCTTAGGCCTCCTGCGAGTCTTGGCGTCGCTGCCGCCTTCGCTTGCACCACCTTGCGGTCCCTGCGTCGAGGGTCGGCTGCGCGCCACCCGTCACTCCTCCTCCCTACGTCCGACCACCGAGCCTTTCGAGACTCTCCACTTGGACGTCTGGGGCCCCGCCCCTCGCCCTGGCCCTGAGCGAGAGAGTTTCTTTCTTGTGGTCGTTGACGACTACTCTCGCTACACCACAGTGTTCTCCCTGGCGAAGAAGTCTGAGGTGACTTCTACGCTGATCCGGTGGTTACTTACCACTGCGGACACTCGTGGCCGTCGTATCAGCGGTCTTCACTCCGACCGCGGGGGTGAGTTTCGCTCTGGTATTCTCGCTGGATTCTGTCGCGAGCAGGGCATCCGTCAGTCCTAGACGCTTCCAGAGTCCCCACAGCACAATGGGGTTGCTGAGCGCCGCATAGGCTTGGTCATGGAGATTGCACGCACCTCCATGATCCACGCACGTGCGCCCCATTTTCTGTGGCCCTACGCGGTTCGTTACGCCGCTCACCAGCTGAACCTCTGGCCACGTGTCTCTCGGTCAGAGGCTTCACCAACCAGTCTTTGGACCGGGTCCCCTGGTGCTGCGTCGCGTTTACGTGTCTTGGGCTGCTTAGCGCTTGTTCGCGACTCCTCCGTGGATAAACTCTCCCCTCGCGCCCTTCCCTGTGTCTTCCTTGGTTTCCCCGTTGACTCCTCTGACTTCACCTTTTACCACCCTCCTCTTCACCGGTTCTTTGACTCCCGCGACGTTCGTTTTGTCGAGTCAGTCCCTTACTACACCCGGTACCCCTGTCGAGGTCTTCCGGTACCTCCTCCTCCTCTCTTCCTGACTCCCGCCCCCCCCTCCTGCCCCTCCGGTACAGCCCCCCCCCCCCCCCCCCCCCCCGGTCCAGCCCCGTCAGGTGTGTCACACGCTACCCCTCCCCCCTCAGTAGCCCCTCAGGTGCCGTCCCCTTCCCCACAGTCCTCCCAGCCTACAGCAGACCCTGCGGGAGCTGGTTTTCGTGGCGAGGACCCTGGAGGTGCTAGCTCTAGAGGTGCTGGAGTTGGAGCAGAGAGCGTACCTGTGCGAGGTCCTGGTTCTGGGGATGCTAGAGTTAGAGTTGAGCCCGTGACTGCAGGAGACTCTAGTCTTCGGGAAGCTGGTGTTAGTGGAGCTGTCCCTGGGGGTGCTACGACTGAGGGTGCACCCTCTGCTGGATTTAGAAAGCCTTGGACGGGCCCTGTTACTTTTGGTGGTGCTGGGTCTGGGGGTGGTGCGACTGGTTCTTTAGAGAGCGGTCCTGGGGCTACCGCCGCTCCGGAAACTACTCCTCCCCCCACCCCTACCCGACCCGGCACCAGGCCCGTGTTCGCCGTGCCCGTGAGGAGCAGCTGGAGTTGGAGCGAGAGGAGCGAGAGCTGAAGCGGCAGCAGCTGGAGCTACAGCGGCTGGAGGAGCAGCAGCCGGAGCAGGAGCAGCCGCAGCAGCAACCGCAGCAGCAGGAGCAGCAGCAGCCGCCGCAGCTGGAGGAGCAGCGGTCGCAGCCGCAGCAGCAGCAGCAGCAGCCGCCACCTCTTCCTCCTGTCTCTGGTCTTCGGGCCCTCGGTCTCCCCTCTCCTTCTCCTCCCTCCTCCCCCTCTCCTCCTGTCTCTGGTCCTCCGCTTCCTCCTCCTAACCCCTCCCCAGCTGTTTTCCCTCCTTTTCTGCCTCCGTTGTCCCCTCCTCTTCCTCACACTTGGCCCTCGCGTCGCTCTCCTCGTGCTCGTCCCTCGTCCCTTGTTCCCTTCTCTGACCTTCGTATTGCCATGTTTTGTTCTAGTCCGCCTCGTTCGTCTCCTTCTGTACTTCCTTCTCCTCCTGAGTCGGCTCTCACTGCTTCCCTCTCTACTCCTGTCACGGACTACTACCGCACGTACCGTCCTGTCCTCTCTTGTGTTCTCGCCTCTCTTGTTACCGACCCACGTGCTTCTCTGTCCTCTGTCTCCACTCTTACTGCCGTAGTCACTGAGTTTGCCTCTAATCGCCGCCTTGACTACGCCACCAGTCTTGTGGCTCCTCCTCCTAGTAGTCCTCTGGCCGTCGGGGGTGAGTCTGCCCTTTGCTGTGACGCCTTAGAGGACAGGCAGATTGAGCTAGAGTTCCTAACAGCCGCTTCCCATCATCTCTGTGCCATGCTGCTCGCTCCTGAGGGAGACCCCGACGCCCTTGACATACCGACTCCTCGCACTTACGCTGAGGCAGTGTCAGGGCCTTGGGCCTCTCTGTGGAGAGCTGCCATGGACTCAGAGATGGCCTCCTACTGATCCACAGGCACTTACGTCGACGAGATTCCCCCCCCCTAAGGCGAACGTAGTCGATGGCATGTGGATCTTCAGGGTGAAGCGGTCACCGCGATCTCCTCCGGTCTTTAAGGCGCGCTATGTGGCTAGAGGTTTCAGTCAGCGCGAGGGAGTTGACTTCTTTCACGCCTTCGTGCCTACCCTGAAAATGACCACTTTTCGGGTGTTAATGCACGTAGCAGCACAGAGATACTACAAGTTACACTCTCTCGACTTCTCTACTGCCTTCCTTCAGGGTAGCCTACACGAGGAGGTCTGGCTACGTCGTCCCTCTGCCTTCACTGGCACTTTCCCTCGTGGGACCCAGTGGAGGCTGATGCGACCGGTGTACGGTCTCCGTCAGGCTCCTCGTGAGTGGCACGACACCCTTTGTTCTACCCTGTCTGACCTTGGTTTCCAGCCGTCTTCTGCGGACCCGTCGATGTTTGTTCGGCGTGGCTCCACACCGTTCTTTGTACTGGTCTACGTCGACGACCTTGTTTTCGTCACTGCTGACAGGGTTTCCTTGGCTGACGTGAAGTGCGAACTGCAGAAGAGATACATGTGCACTGGCCTTGGTGAGCTGCGCCACTACCTTGGCCTGCAAATCACCAGGGACAGAGCCGCTCGTACCATTACACTCTCATAGTCACACATGGTGCAGCAGGTCCTTCAGCGGTTCGAGCTTCAGCACTCTACGGTACAGCGCACACCTCTTGCTGTTGACCATAGACTCACTGGACCCTTCCCTAACGAGCCGTTTGAACCTAGTGGTTCTTACGCAGAGCTTGTGGGCTGCCTCATGTACCTGATAACTTGTACTCGCCCGGACCTCGCCTTCCCTCTCAGCATCCTTGCTCGCTTTGTTGCGCCAGGGAGACACCGTCCAGTTTACTGGACAGCTGCTGTGAGGGTGGCGAAGTACCTAGCGACGACATCAGGCGTGGGGCTGGTTCTTGGAGGGCAGCAGTCTGTTGTACTTACTGGACACTGTGACTCTTCTTACGCTGACGACGCTGAGACTCACAGGTCTACTCAGGAGTACTGCTTCAGCCTGGGCTTTGGAGCTGTTTCATGGAGGTCCACGCGTTCCTCCTCGGTCTCGACCTCCACTGCTGAGGCCGAGATCTACGCTCGAGCCATGGCTGCACAAGAGTTGCATTGTTTGACCTTTTTGCTCACCGACCTTGGTAAGCGACCGAGCTCTGCACCGACCTTGTTCACTGACAACAAGGCGTCGATTCTCATCTGTCGAGAGCCGTGACTGGAGAGCAGAGTGAAGCACATCAACGTCAGGTACTTTCTTCTGCGAGAGTTGCAGCGGCGTGGACAGGCTCGCTTCGACTTTGTGGAGCCCGAGGCCAACACTGCAGACATCTTCACCAAGGCGCTTCCGCCTTGTGACCATAAAAAATGTTGTGTGCAGTTAGGTCTCGTTGACACAGGTTCTCGCCTTGCGTAGTCTTGAGTTATCAGCTTGCTTTGTTTGTACGTTTTTATATATACCTCTGAGAACCCTTGAACTGGCATTGTAGCTCTTTTGCTTCTGCGCGAAATGTGTTGTGACGTTATAATCCACCCAGAGCTTTGTTTCTTTGTGACTGGTCTTGTGACCGTACACTTTTGGTTTTGATTGTCACCCCTCACTTAGACTATGGGGGTGTGTCAAATGTTGTAGTCTTAGTGATGTGTGTTATAAGGGGGCACAATTGTTAGGGTTAGGTTTATGTACCCCAACCAACCTTAGTCAAAACAAACACTTTATTTCTTGACAAATACATACCTGCTTGACTGTGTCAAATAGATTAATATCTATTTAGTATAATCTGCCTGTAGTGTAGCTGTTGTGTAATACCCTTGTATGGTGGTGCACCTCTTTCACCTTTGTTAGGTTGCTATATGTACTCGTGTGCTATAGTGAACCCACACACATTCTCGACATTTCTCCTTGGCACAAACTCCTCGACACCCGCTTGGCCTAGGCTACTAAGCATAGGCCCCTAGTTAAACCCGGTTACCAGTTAAGTTAGTCTCGTAACATGGTATCAGAGCTAGCAAGTTCCTAGCCTGTACAATCTTATGGGCCCACCAACCCGTAATTCGTCGCCCGTCGCACGTCGCCTGTACGCCCTGTAGCCTGCCGTCGCTCGGACCCTCGCGGTCCCCTTGTTTCGCGCCCCGAATGCCCCCTGTTTCGCGCCCCGAATGCCCTCCGATTCGCGCCCCGAAGGTCCCCGTTTCGCGCCCCGAATGCCCTCCGATTCGCGCCCCGAAGGTCCCCGTTTCGCGCCCCGAATGCCCCCCGTTTCGCGTCCCGCAAGGTCTTTGCGGCCCCTCGATCCCGTCGCCCAGCTTCCCATCGCCCCGCTTCCCGTCGCCCCGCTTCCCGTCGCCCCGCTTCCCGTCGCCCCGCTCCCCGTAGCCCGCTGCCGCTCCTTAGCCCGTCGCATTACCCGCGCCCCATGCCCGTCACCTCCCCCCCCCCCCCCCCCCCCCCACGTCGCGGCTGTTCGCGTGCGCAGCGGCGGTCGCTGTGTGGGGGAGAGGGAAACGGGGAAGGGAGTGGCGGTGGATCGCTGTGGGGAGAAAGAGGGCAAGGGGGAAGGGAGTGGCTGCGGATCGCTGTGGGAGGGAAGAGGGCAAAGGAGAAGGGAGTGGCGGCAGAACTTCAGCGACGACCGCCAGCGCACCGGCGATCGCACCAGCGCTCGCGCGCCGCCTGCTGCTGCAATTCGTCGCCCGCGCACTGCCCGTTCCTGCAGCCTGCCGCTCGCGCCGCCTCCCGCCCGTCACCTCCCCCCCTCCCGTCGCCCCCACCCACTCTCCCGCCAGCACCAGCCGCGCCTGCGACTGCTACCGTGCTAGCTCGAGGTGGTGGGGGTGGCGGCCAGTGGGGAGGTAGCGGGTGTGGAGGTGGAGGTGGTGGGCTGTTGGGGGGAGGGTAAGGGGGTGGCGAGAAGGATTCTGCAGCCTCAACCTCCTCCTCCTCCTCTCCCTCTCAGTCTCGCATATGCTACTGTGGGGGGAGGATGAATGTGTGTGGGAGTGGAACTGCAGCCCCATCCACTGCCACCACACCTCCTCCTCGCTCTCTGTGCCGCTACTACTGCTGTGGGAGGGAGGTTCAGGGAGTGTGGGTGGTGAGAGTTCAACTGCAGCATCAGCCGCCGCCTCCTCCTCTCATCCCCTGCTGCCCGTGCCCGTGCTGCCCGCCCGTGTTCCCCGTGCTTGCCCCGTGCCCGTGCCCGTTCTGTCCGCCCGTGTTCCCCGTGCCCGTGCTGTCCGTACCTGGTTGTGCCCCACCCGTCTCACCCGTGCTGTCCGTACCCGGTTGTGCCCCACCCGTCTCACCCGTGCTGTCCGTACCCGGTTGTGCCCCACCCGTCTCACCCGTGCTGTCCGTACCCGGTTGTGCCCCACCTGTCTCACCCGTGCTGTCCGTACCCGGTTGTGCCCCACCCGTCTCACCCGTGCTGTCCGTACCCGGTTGTGCCCCACCCGTCTCACCCGTGCTGTCCGTACCCGGTTGTGCCCCACCCATGTCACCCGTGCTGCCCGTACCCGGTTGTGCCCCACCCGTCTCACCCGCGCTGTCCGTACCCGGTTGTGCCCCACCCGTCTCACCCGTGCTGTCCGTACCCGGTTGTGCCCCACCCGTCTCACCCGTGCTGTCCGTACCCGGTTGTGCCCCACCCGTCTCACCCGTGCTGTCCGTACCCGGTTGTGCCCCACCCGTTTCACCCGTTTCACCCGTGCGTCCCGTGCTTCCCGTGCTGCCCCCGTGTTCCTGTGCTGCCCCCGTGCTCCCGTGTTGCCCCGCTCTCCCCGTGCTGCCCCGTTCTGCCTGTGTCGTGCCCGTTCCCGTGCCGTGTTGCCCCGTTGAGCCCTTGTCCTGCCCCGTTCTGCCTGTGCTGCCCCGTTGTGCCCGTGTTGCCCCGTTCTGCCTGTGTTGCCCCGTTCAGCCCGTGTCCTGCCCCGTTCTGCCCGTGTTGCCCCGCTCTGCCCGTGCTGCCCCGTTCTGCCCGTTTGTGCCCTACCCGTGCTGTCCGTACCCGTTCGTGCCCCACCCGTGCTGTTAGTTCTCGCTCGTGCCCCACCCGGTCTGTGCTGCCCGGTCTCGTGCTGCCCGTCACCCCCGTGCGGCCCGTCCCGTACAGCACCTAGTTGCTACCCGAACCCGCTACCCGTACCCGTGCTCCTCGCACACCGTGCACCTGCTGCGGGGCGTTCAACCGCAGCCGGGCACCTGTTCCACCACGATGGTTCAGATGCTGCTTGGTGGTTGCTGCTTGTCAGCTTCAGAGGGGGCCCCTTGCTGGTGTTCCCACGCCCTGTAATGGGGTTTTACAGGTGTACCCCTTCAAGGGGGGCTCTGCACATGGTTATGCACTTCAGGCAGATAGGGGGTGTGTCAAATAGATTAATATCTATTTAGTATAATCTGCCTGTAGTGTAGCTGTTGTGTAATACCCTTGTATGGTGGTGCACCTCTTTCACCTTTGTTAGGTTGCTATATGTACTCGTGTGCTATAGTGAACCCACACACATTCTCGACATTTCTCCTTGGCACAAACTCCTCGACACCCGCTTGGCCTAGGCTACTAAGCATAGGCCCCTAGTTAAACCCGGTTACCAGTTAAGTTAGTCTCGTAACAGACTGGATTGTCGTGGCCTGGTTAAGGTTCATGGATTGTCGTGGCCTGGTTGCTTCCAGTTACATGTACTAGTTGATTGGAACTACCACACATGACTGATAGTCAGCAGAGGGGGCTTAGATTCGGCTTGAGTTGGGTTGGGAATTTATGGTTTGGTGAAATCAAACTGCAAATTCGCTTGCATGAACCGATAGTAACTATTAGAGTGTTCCTTCCTGCATGTACCACATCTTTGGCAACTGCTGCTTTCACAAACTGGTGTTAGCAACCCTTTTTTTTACAGGATAAACAGAAAAAACACCCTGCTATGATGAGCAGATCTGTCAAGGCTGTGCTGCGCTCCTTTGGTGGTCGGTGGAGAGGATTTTGAAAATGTCTGACACCCTCCCAGCTTTCTCGGTTTTTTCTGTGCCCTGGTAAAGTGGTGTACAGTACAGAGGCCCTTCTTCAATTTTCCTCTTGCGTGGGTCCCAGTGGTCCGGTTCAAACCAATTTTGAAGCTACCCTAATCCTAACCGCCATGCTTCCCCTTTTCCAGCCTTGATGCGGAATGCTGGAAATCCCTAAATGACGTGGGATAGACGATACCCTCCTTCCGTTTCATTGGCGGTTTTTTTCCTCCAAACACGCACAGCCAACAATTTGTTACGATTGCAAAATATTCAGTGCGAAAACAGGTCGCGTAATTTCTGCACCAGCAAATCCTTTGAACTAGGGTCGACTCGACCCTTGAAACCGACTGGACCCTTGAAACCACTCGACTTGGGGTGCGTTCCTGGCTCGTGTGAAACTTCCGGTCGTCCGGGGATGACACGAAGCTGGCTCTACTTTGGGTCATCCGAGACCAACTTCGGGTCTTCCCGCCAAATTTCGCCTCTGTTTTCCCTAGACACGAAGTTTGACAGGAAGTTTGACCTAAACCTTCGGGTCTTCCCGGGAAGACCGGATGTTTGACACGAGCCAGGAACGCAGCCTTGGACCGTGCGTGCGAGCGTTTTTCTAAGTTCCAACTTCTGTTCACAAATGAGAACGAGTGCAACTGTGGGTGTTGGAGAAGAGTTTGGGTACGTTTCTATCCCGTGTCAGACACGAAGCCAGACACGAAGTTGAGGTTGGGAAGACCCAAAGGGACTCGGAATGCTGCCAAATTTAGGTTCGGAAGACACAAACCGAGTCACTTTGTGTCTTCCGAAGCTTTGACCTGATGTCTGACACGGGATAGAAACGCACCCTTTGTCTGTGAGAAAGCCATCAAGAAGAGTGTCTGCTGGGCCTTCCAGTTGAGCAAGCTCCAAAGAAGTCTGCTCAGGCGACAAATGGCGGAGCAGGGGTCAAGCATCAGGCACGGGCGATTGAAAACCATTCCTGTGGGTCTTGTTTGAAAGGCTAGTGATGGAAGAAATACTGCAAGGAAATGCAAATGAAAGGAAGTCTTCATCGCGGTTTTGCTATCCCGTGACAACGTATCTTTCGTGTAGGGATGGGAGACCGTCGTTCGCAGAGCTTACCGTGGCGGCTGCGTCTGTGAAACTGCGAAACGCACGTCGAGAGTCGGGCCGCGACAGGTGAACACGCAACACGCAACCGAAAGAGGCAGAAAACACAGCAGATGGAAGACACGACTCTTCCGCCAGAGCTAGCGCAATGGCGCGAGCAGGAATCGACCCAGAGACTGTCAGCGCAGCAGCCGCAGTCAGCATGGCTCACGCGCACGTGGTCACAGCCGCAACAGCAGCTGTTGCTCTCGCAGCAACCGCTGCCGCAGCAGCAGTCAGTACTATCGCCGCCTCAAACGCAAGCGCAAGCGCAACTCTCGCGGGACCGGGAAACGCCATTAGAGGAGCCGTCGAATGTGGAGTCATCGAAACGAGTCGAAGCCGCCAAGCAGTTACTGCCGCGTGTAGACTCGTTGCGACTAAAGCCGCAGCTGCCGGAACTCTCTTGGGGGGAGGGGGACAGCGGCGGGCACGCGGTGCGTTTCGGCGAGCCCGGTTCGTTGGGTTTTCGCATGATGTTTCTCGATCGCCGCGATCGAATCGTTTCGCCGTGGCACAACATCCCGTTGTACGGCGAAAACAGCTGGTTGAACTGCGTTTGCGCGACGCCGTCGGGAAGTTGGTTGAAGCACGAATTCGCACCGGAGGAATACACTCCGCTGCGCGTCACTCCGAAACGCGGAGAACCGTCGCACTTTTGCGACAACGCCACGTGGAACCTCGGCCTGCTGCCGCAGACGTGGCAAGATCCGGAGGAAGTCGTCGAGGAATTTCCGGGCATGATGGGTTGCGGCAGTCCCTTGGAGGTGATAGATGTTTCGGGTGGTCTGCCCGCGGATTTAGGGCAGGTTTACACGATAAAGCCGCTCGGCGTGATTCCAGTTGTGCGCGAGGCTGGGTTGGCCTGGGTGGTGGTGGGAATTGGCGCGGGGGACTTGTTGGCGAGCCTGATGAATCACGTTGATGACGTGTACGCGCTGCTCCCGGGAACAATGGAATCCGTCATGCATTGGCTGACGGTTTGCGACTCCACTGAGCCTGGTGAGGCTCCTTGTTTGTGATGGGATAGTTTGGAGGTTGACGATTCTGTCTGATCGCCACTCACCAAGTACAAATGTACGTCCATTTTTCCCGTACGATCCACTTCAGATCCGTACGATCTTCCTCCACAGCCACATCTGGTCGGAACCTGAAGTCTAAATTCGAACCACTTATTTGTCTGTTCCGCCCTGCTTCCAGGCGACCCCCCAGCGTTACTAGCCAGTGACGACAGCTACGGCGCGGACAAGGCTCTGGAGGTGATAGCACAGGCGCACGCGGCATGGCAGCTGTTTCTCCACAGCAACGTGCAGCCGGAGCCGTGGCCTGGACTGGACCGTACCCAACTTTGAATGGTTTTCTTCCTCTGTTCCGCCCTGCTTCCAGGAGACCCCCCAGCGGTGTTAGCCAGTGATGACAGCTACGGCACGGACAAGGCACTGGAGGTGATAGCACAGGCGCACGCCGCATGGCAGCTGTTCCTCCACAGCAACGTGCAGCCGGAGCCCTGGCGGCCGGATCTGGACGTGTTCTCCACCAACGTGCTGCAGGCCTGCTGGCGCAAATACACTGACGGGCAGAGCGCTTTGGTGCTCCCTGTATCGTGTGAGCGGCGGGATGAGAGCGTTCCTGGAGATGCTTATAACGGGGATGAGATGCTGGGGTTTGGATCAGTGGGGTTTGGTGCGGTTGATGGAGATATGGCGGATGAGGAGGGGGTTGAGAGAGATGCAAGGGGTTCTGGGGGTGAAGGCAAGGGTGTGGCAGCAACAGGCTCCAAAAGGGGTTCTCAGAAAGTTCCCGAAGGGCAGAGCAAAGGCGGAAGGCTGAGCAGAATATCGTCATCAGCAGTAGCACCTGCCACGGTCACTGCTGCTGCTGCTGCTGCCGGTCGTCACCCTTCAGAAGCAGGAGCAGCGGCTGCCGGGGGGAAGGGAGGAAAAGGAGGAGGGGGTGGAGCAGCAGCAGAAGGTGCATCAGCAGCAGCGCCATCGATAGGAAAAGACTCGCCTCTTACTACTGCTGCCAAGAGCTCCAACAAGATGAGCTTTTTCAGGTCACGCCTCCCCAGCCTGCCTCCGCCCCCACCACCCTCACACTACGATGACGTCATCTCAGCAGAAGCAAAGTCAGCATCCGCATTGGCAGCACGGCACCCCAGCAGCTTTGAGAGCAGTGGGGGCTACAGCAGCAGCAGTGCACATGGGAAGGGGACGCGAGCTTGGAGTCCTCTAGCTGTGCTGCGCTCCAAATCCCCTGGCAGTCTGCAGAGCAACCATGGCAAGCAGCGCGCACAGAGCGCGGCACGTGACAGCAGCAGAAAATCCCCTCGAAGTCACCAGAGCAGTGCGGCCAGGGTGAGCAACGAGGTTCAGAGTAGGGGGGTAGGGGCGGGTACCCAGTGGGCTGCTGCTGCTGCTGCTGCTGCAGGCCAGGTGAAGCACGGTGCAGGCAGCCAATCGCCAGTGGGTGGTAGACCACCCAGCAGCCCGTCCCTTGTAGTGGGTGGTAGACCACCAAGCAGCCCGTCCCTGGTAGGTGGTAGACCACCCAGCAGCCCGTCCCTGGCTGGTGGTAGACCACCCAGCAGCCCATCTCCTGTGGGTGGTAGACCACCGCTCAGCAGCAGCAGCAGCAGCAGCAGCAGCAGCAGCAGCAGCGTGTCTCCAGGAGGCCAGAGGGGGCGAGACAGCAGGTCTCCCGGTGAACGGTCAGTGGTGCCCAGGTCTCCAAGGGAAAGAATGCTGAGGCCTAAGTCTCCAAAAGGAATCCTGCCTGGCTTTGCCTTGGCAGCTCTTGGGGGCGGTTTGCGAGCAGGTGGTGCTGATGGTGGTCCTGCTGCTGCTGCTGCTGCTGCTGCTGCTGTTGGCGGTGGTGCTGCTGGTGTTGATAGTGGTGGTGTTTCAGATGCAGCTGCGTCTGAACCTGCCAACGCTGATGGTGACGGTGATGGTGATGCTGATGGTGTTGCTTCAGCAGTCTCACCTCCGTCTGTGGCTGCTACATGTGACCCGCTTTCCGGGTTGGGTAAGCCTACAAGAAGCCGGTCCTTGCAGCGCCGAATGTCTCCCCGGGGGCTGCAGCACCTGCACCTGCCAGACATGGCAAGGAAAGGGTTGCAACAGCTGCCAGTGGTGTCTCCTCGCGCGCTCAAGTTGCCTGAGGTGGCGAAAAAACTGATTGGGGGATTTTCCGGCTGGCATTCGGGCGAGGAGCGAGGCAGAGAGAAAGACCGAGACAGAGTGAGGGACATGGAAAGAGACAGAGGGGACGGGGACAGGGGGGAGAGAGACAGGAGGGATGGCACAGGGCAGCCCTGGCTGGATTCGCACGCACAAGCGCCGATTGCTTGGGAGAGTGATGTGTTCCCAGTAGAGAGGCTGCTGGCACGGTCCAGACAGGGGGGCGGTGTGTGCGCGGGTATTCCCAAGGGTGATGGGCTGCTGCGTCGGCATCGCAGTGAGAACCTGTCTGCGCGTGGGGCGTTTCAGCAGCAGCCGGGGGATGGTTGGAAGCATGGGTTGGGGGATGGTGGACGGGATGGTGGGGGGAATGGTGGGAGGGATGGTGGCGGGAATGGTGGGGGGAATGGTGGGGGGAATGGTGGTGAGGTGGACAGGCTGGTGGCGGGGCTGCTGGAGGCAGGAGATGCGTGTGCGGGTGCGGCACAGGCAGGCAGTGATGGTGAGGTGCTGCGTCGGCACGGCAGTGAGAACCTCTCAAGGTATAGCTCTGCGTGTCCTCCTGTGCTGCCGCAGGCAGTGCCTGAAGGAGGAGGAGTAGGTACTGGCGAGGTGCCCACAGTAGCAAGAGCCGGGGCTGCTGGGACGGCGGGGGCAGTAGAGACGGCGGGAGCAGTAGCAGGAGTTGGAGCAAGGGGGAAAGCAGCAGAAGCAGCAGCAGCAGTGGTAGAGTCAAGCCACTCTGGCATGGCTTGTGAGCTCACAGCAAAGGGGAAATTGCCGCAGAAAGCCGGGCAGCGGGGTGATAGACTCCGCTTTCTGCATTCCAAGTCTCTACCCCCGGCTTTAACTGGAGGAAGCTGGAGTGAGGAGGAAATCATACAGCCTGTTTTGACTGTGAAAAGGATTGCTGTTCCCGGAAACGCAGCCGTTTCTTTAGCCGGGAGTGCTTTTCCTTCAGATAATGAAGATGCTTTTGCTGCTGTGGAAGACAGACAGTTACAGAGGCAGAAATGGATGCAGCTGCAGCAGCAGCTCCAGCAGGGTGCCTCTACAACCCCTACAGCCCCGTCAGCAGCACAGACTGACAGGTTTCGTCGCACTCTCTCTGCTCCGCGCTCCTCCCTACCCCCACCCACTGCCTCCTCCACTCCTTTCCCTGGTCACCCATCCAGACTCCTCCCATGTCTGCCACTTTCCTCCCCACCCCCTCATTCCTCCCCACCCTCCATGCTCAACAACCCGCAATCCTCTTTCCCATCTACCTCTGCCCGCCGCCGCTCCTCGTCCTTCTCGGGGTGTGAAAGCTCTGGCCTTGGCTCGCCTGACTGCTCCACCGCCACACACCCTCCTGCGTGTGAGGCATCTGTTGCATTTGATGCGCCACAGGCACTTGTGGTTGAGGCGCATGGGCAGCAACAGCCTCCCAAACACTCCACTGTTGCCGCCCATGCTACAGCCGCCCATGCTACAGCCTGCCATGCAGAAAATGAAATTGCTGCAGCCAGGCTTGGTATGGCCAGCTGCTCAACAGCCAGTGTTGCTCCTCCTGGCCCTGCCATGCCTGCACTCACCTCTGCTACAGCCATTCCTGCTACAGCCGGGCATGCAGCAAGTGACAGTGCTGTAGCCAGGCTTCATATGGCCAGCTGCTCAACAGCCGCTGTTGCTCATCCTGGCCCAGCCATTTTCTCTCAGCAGCTGGATAGCGAGCAGCATTGGCAGCGCTGTATGGCTCAGGGGCACTATTTTCTGCAGCCGCAGCAGTGCGATGACCAGCAGCAAGAGCAGCGGCAAGAGCGAGAGCGAGAGCACTTAGAGTATTTATACCTGCTCGAGTATGAGCAGCAATACAAGCACCAGCAGCACCAACATAGGCCTCCTCACCATTATCAACCCTATCAGCAGCAGCAGCAGCAGCAGCAGGCCACTTCAGGACTGTCATACAGCAGGCCTCGGCTTGCCAGGATAGAGCAGTCACGGGACGCACTGATGCCCTGCGACGATCTAGAGTCATGGAATGCAGTAGACGAGTCTCAAATGCCGCTCACCCTGCCACTGCCAGAGCTGCCAGTGGGACCTGGGGAAGGTGAAGAGAGAGACGAGGGAATGGGAGCAGTCGCCTATATGCAAGAGCAGGAAGAGCAAGAGCAGCAGCAGGTAGATTTGAGGGAGTTGGATGTGGTGGGGCTGGTGCTGAGGGGAGGTGGGGGGGGAAGGGAAGAGACGGGTGGGTTGGAAGGGATTCGGAGGATGCAAGGGCTGGGCTTGGTGGGGGGGCAGCAAGGAGGAAGCTGGCAAGAGGGGGTGGAGGAGGTAGAGAGACAGCGGGAGCAGCAGCATGATAAGCAGCTTTTGCTGCAGGAGCAAAGCCAATGGTGGCGGCAACACCTGGAGCAGCAGCTGCAACATCAGCATCGGCACCAACAGCAGCAGCAGCAGCAGCAGCAGCAGCAGCAGCAGCAGCAGCAGCAGCAGCAGCAGCAGCAGCAGCAGCAGCAGCAGCAGCAGCAGCAGCAGCAGCAGCAGCAGCAGCAGCAGCAGCAGCAGCAGCAGCAGCAGCAGCAGCAGCAGCAGCAGCAGCAGCAGCAGCAGCAGCAGCAGCAGCAGCAGCAGCAGCAGCAGCAGCAGCAGCAGCAGCAGCAGCAGCAGCAGCAGCAGCAGCAGCAGCAGCAGCAGCAGCAGCAGCAGCAGCAGCAGCAGCAGCAGCAGCAGCAGCAGCAGCAGCGGCGGCGGCAGCACCAGCACCAGCAATGGCACGTGCAAAATGAAGCAAGAGCAGAAGCTGGAGGTGCAGGGGCAGCGGCAGGGGTAGTGCAGTTGAGGCGCAGTCATACGGAGGATTGGAGGGGTCGCAGGGCAAGGGGGCAGCATGAGCAGCACGCTCAGAACATGCGGCACTTGCAAAGAACGGCAAGAGCAGCAGATGCAGGTGAAGGTGCAGGTGCAGGGGCAGGGGTATGGGCAGGGGCAGGGGCAGGTCAGCTGAGGCGCAGTCAAACAGGGGAGTGGAGGGCACACAGGGCACCTGTGCCTGAGGAAAAGGGGCAGCAGAAGCGGCACTTTGAGTGGGCCTCTCACTGGGCGCACAGGGCAAGCGCGCAGCGTGAGTGGCAGGACCAGTACCAGCAGCGGCACGACCAGCAGGAGCAGCAGCAGCAGCAGCAGGAGCGAATGTTTGAGTGGACCTCTGACTGGACTGTGAATCGGTCTGCTGAGCGTTCTCTTGACTGGTGCTCGCAAGGGAAGCCCCAGCAAGCTGCGCTTGGTGCTGATAGTGTCGGTGCTGCGAGCGGTGCTGGTGGTGCTTCTGGCATTGGTGCTGGTAGTGGTGTTGGCAGCGGCAGGGCAGCAGCAGCGACCGGACGGGAAGCATTCAATGGAGCGCCATTACCTTCTGATGTGGAGGGCGCAAGGCCACTGTATGGCGAGATGACTTCTGAGTCGACACAAAAGGCAGCAGCGACCAGAGGGGAAGCATCCAGTGGAGTCTGGTCACCTTCTGGAATCGCTTTTGCGAGCTCTCAAAAGCCATCCAGTGGAGGCTGGTCACCCTCTGCTGTGGAGGGCGCAAGCGCACTGTATGGGCGCACCATGACCCTCGACAGACACAGTTTCAGGGGCTGGGGCACACGCACAGCCACAGGCGCACGCATGGGCATGGGTGTGGGCATGGGCGCGAGTCAGATGGGTGTGGGTGTGGGTGTGGCTGTGGGTGTGGGTGTGCGAGAGGGTGATGAGATGGCAGTGCCTCAGCTGGAGCGCAGGCGGACAGTGAGCAGGGTGAAGTTCAGTGAGGATGTGGACGTGGTGATGTATGAAGAGGCTGACGTGGCATCTGCTGTGCTGCGATGCTGATGTGGCATGTGCCGTGCTCCGATGCTGATGTGGCATCTTCGGTGCTACGATTCTGATGTGGCACCTGCTGTGGTGCGTTTGCGCTGCCGCTGTCGGTGCTGCTGCCGAAGGTGCTGCTGTTGGTGCTACTGCTGCTAGTAGTGGTGGTGGTGCTTCTGCTGCTGTTGCGAGGCTAATGCTATGACGGTGTGTCAGCCTGCCTTTGCAGCTGGTTCGGACCGGGACTAAATCGAAACGCAGGTATCTGTGAACAAGCTTGGTATGCAGCAGCATCATGACTCTTATTGAGTGACCAAGCCTGCTGTTGCAGCTGCGGCCTCTGGGTTGTTGATTCCGACCGGGACACTATCCAATCGCTCGCTGGTGCCTGTGAATAAGCTTCGTACGCAGCAGCAACGCAGCATCATGACCCTTTGCAAGGGCGAGCGGCTTTAAGAATTGCAGGATCGTGGCAATGCAAGGAAAGGGTCGAAATTGGGCAGCGACTGAAGTAACAGCCGGCCGCTGCACAGCGGTTTAATAAAGCAGGCCCCTTACAAGGGTGTTAGTAGGTTTTCGATGTGAGGTTGGATAAGTTCCTGTGTTTCACAAGATGAAATTTTTTTTTTAGGCGCCTCAAAAGTCGTCTCCTGTCTCGCGGTTTTACCGTATGTGGGGAGAATTAGAATTGCATGGAAGTGTGCACGTAACCTTCAGCGGTTACTTGTAAGGGCACGGTTACCTAAGTCACTCGCCAAAGTTCCCGAAGGCTGACTCAGGACCAGGCCCTCAGATTCGTTATTGGGGCTGTCTGAGGGTTCAGACTTGGTACAGAATTGTTGTCTGAACTATCAGAGTCTGTTAAGAAGACAAGTCTGAAATTTCAGAGTGTCAGTAATAAAAACTCTGATTCTTCAGAGTTACCAATTGACATTAATCTGACTGTGATTTTGCTGTCTATAGGTCATGCTTCAATTCAAACATTAACATTGCACGGGACAGCATGCATCGTCATCGCCTGAGGTGGTACCGTCGAGAACCGCCATGGCGGGGCTGAGAAAGCCTGCCGAGCAGGCACTAGGGAGGTGGTGGCAGCAGACAAAAAGCACTGGGACTGGGTGCAGACAAGGCCGCTGAAGCCTGAGGTGGGGATGAAACCCCAGCTCTCCGACGATGGCTCTTTACCCCTTCGCGGGCCATCGTTCCAGTGGGCTGGTTGCCTACCATGCACGCCAAACCACGAGCCGCTACTGCCGTGCACTGCTGTCTGCAGTGTTTCATGGCTGCCAACTGCAGCAACGTGGGTGCCGTTGGGGTCCAGTGTGGCTAGCAAAAGCTGCCAAAAGGAACAATCAACACCCAAAGCTGGTGTGCGCTGGTGCTTACGAGGGGGAAACCGCGCCGCAGGGCGGCGTCGGTGTGGAAACTGATGTGCTGTCACTGATCACCCGTGATTGACAGGGTAACAGTCTTGTGCCACCGCCAATCCCGGGTTACGGCGCCAGAGTCGGTACGCGTTTCTAGTCTGTTCAATCAGAGTACTCTAGAAAAAAAACTCTGAACTTTCAGAGTTGAGGCCATAAAAAAATCTGAACTTTCAGAGTTGAGGTCATAAAAAATTCTGAACTTTCAGAGTTGCACTTAAAAATAGTCCGGAAATCAGAGTTTTTCATGCAAATCAGAGATATTTTTCTGACTTCTGGGGGCCTGCTCAGGACCAGGGCTAACTTTAGTGCCAGGGCCCGTCTGACGTTAAGACCAGGTTCTGGCTCCTTGTCTGATGGTCAGACGAAAGATTTAGCGAAGTCTTACGTTTCAGACGAACAAGAAGTACTTGTCTAGGCTGTCAGACGAAATTAGATAGTTAGTCTTATAGCAACACATTTCCTAGCCTATGTAGTTTCTAAACTACCAACATCCTATTCTATTCTAAGAGGATTCACTAGCATTACTGCTTTCACTGTCATCACTACTACTGCCACTGTCATCATCACTACCACTGCCACTCTCAAAGGTTTCAACAATTGTGGCTCTGTTTTTGCCCTTCCTCCAGGTAGGCAGTTCCCATGCAGCTTCTTCTGCAGCCCTCTCTCTCTCCCTTGTTGCAGCCTCTTCTGCCTCTTCCCGTGCGCGTGTAGCTGCTGCTGCTGCTTCTGATGCTGCAGCGCGTTTCTTCAGCTGATGGGACCGCCGTCGCTTCACCGGGCGTGATCCTTCAGCCATGACCACCTCACGCGCCGGCCGCCTCTTTTTGCCGCCATAAAACCTATCCACCAGCTCCTCTGTGTTCAGCTCGTAGTCCAGAAGAGACACCGTCATCAGCTCGCCCAGAGTCGTGTCGCACAAGCTGCCGCGCACCCAGCTCTTAATGATGTTCTAACGGCTGAAGCCGCGCTCACACTCAACAGTGCTGAGCGGTAGCACAGCAACAGCAATCCACAGGCGGCCGAGGTTCGGATAGGCATACTCCCAATCTGGCGTTGAGAGCATCTGAGAGAGGCTATCGTGGAAGGACAGGTCTTCGTGATGAGTGGAGAGGATTGTGGTGAAGCTGGTGAGCTCTTTGGCGGCTTTGCCCCAGTCGACACCTGATGGGGAGGGTAGGGAAGGGTGAGGGACATCGGGTATCACAGCAGAGAGTACATTAAGGCACGGCAGCAATAACAGTTACATTAATGATACGCTCACCCCAAAGCAAAGCGCTTACCAGGGAGGGTGTCTGGATGGCTGGGCTTCTTCTTGAACAGGTTGCGCAGCGACTGAAGCCATTCGGGAAACCGGCGCGCTCTCTTAGCGCGCGAAAGAGGGTACCGTCCCTGCAGAAACAGACGACTCCCGTCCAACGACTTTAGACTCTTCATGCGATCGTCGATGTAAAGCACGGTCCTCCCAACAAACTTGGATGCCACCTCCACACACGACGCCAGGTCGCCCCCAAACTTCTCCTTCCCGATTAAGTCCTCGTGTAGCACGTACGAGTGAGTAACGGGTGTTCCGACGCCGTCAATGCTTTCCACCTTCACCTCGCGATTCTCGGTGCTCCCGTGGTTCTTCAGAAACGTCGCTAGACGACCACTGTTGTCGCCGAAGGTGGAGCCGTACTCCACGTAGCGACTTGTCAAGCACAGGGTGGTGTGTTGCACCATCGACCGAACCTGCGTCGCATCGAGCTGCACATTTCACACAAACAGAATTAGTCACGGCACGGAAAGCCAGGGGGAAACCAGGCAAGACATCGGGAATCACGCGTCCTTACCTGACGTCGCTGGAACTTGAGATTGAGGCTGTTCAGCTCCTGAAGCACGTCAACCAGAAAGAAAAGGAAGAACTGAAATTTCAGACTGGTAACAAGAGTGTACGTTGCCTTGTCGTACTCGTGCAGCAGGACAACGGCAACAGGCAGCACGTCAGCAAAGCGCTCGATGGTGTCCCCGCGTGAAAGCCAGCGAACGTCTTTAATCCCTTGCATCTCGAGGTTGGTCTGTGTAATCACTTCCTGCAGATTCTTGAATCGCGCATGCTGCACGATGCTGCGGCCGAGAATGTCCGCGAAGGCCCGGACGACTTTGTCCACGACGTTAAACTCGGGGAACTCTTCAGCAGCATCTTTAGCAGTCAGAGCCTCCCTGCAGTCGTAACAAGAGTAGGATTAGTGGGCGAGTTACACAACACAAAAATAAACACAACGACAAACTACCTGTGGGCAACGCAATGGCAAGGCACTATGTGCGGCACCCGTGTTCGTTATCGCGCCACCAGGCCTGTCTGCCCGCCCGTCATAACGCTCGCGCCGTCCGTGGTCATGCCGCTGATCCTCTGCAGTTCGAGGCCGCAAGCAGCAAGGTGTGTCAGCAGGACGGCCTCCAGCGACCCGGCGTCGCACTTCTCAACGGACAAGTTGGCGAAGAACTCGGTAACCACCACCGTGCCACGGAGAAACGTGGCATACACAATCATGTGTTTGCCACGCCTACGGTCGGTGCTTTCGTCAAGTTGAAGGCCAACGTAGGGACTGAGGCTGATGTGCTGCATCTGCTTTGCTTTCAAGTAGCACACCAGCGCCTCGACCAACTGCTTGAAACCGTACCTGCGTCAAAGAGTACAACAAAGAATTAGTGAATAAGGGGTGTTTAAATACAACATTGATGTGAACAGGCTAAACTTACGTAGAACAATAAGTCCCTTGGTCCTTCGCCGGCATGTCTGGCGTTCCCATCTCCGCCATAAACTGCACGAGTGTCATGAACATGACAATGGGGGTGTCGGATTTGTTAGAATATATCTGTAACTGCCTGTAGCTGTAATTTAGTGTAGTTATTATAAACTGTTGGTGGTGCACCTTCTTTGCATGCTCTGTTTGCTATATGTACCCTAGTGCTATAGTGAACAACATTCCCATTCTCTCTTGGCACAAATTACCTCGTCCCCCTTGGCCTAGGCTACTAAGCCTAGGCCCTAAACCTAACTACCACTTGTGCCACTATTTTGACAGGATTTGCATAGGAAACGCACAGTCAACAACAGCTTTATCAACCGCCG